TTTTCGTTAAAGATGGTTCTGCTGTGGAAATTAGGTTTGGATATTAAGGCTTTAGCTCCATATCTACCCTCCCACTTTGTCACAAGCTTAATGTCAACATGTTTTCGCACGTTCTCCATTGTTTTGCCAAATACCGCGTTGTTCATTAGTTTAAATAAGTTTTTCTCGAATTCATTTTTAACATTAGTTCTGCGTTCGGCATTGAAATCAATATAACTTTTTAACCACGTGGATTGCTCAAATTTCAAAACACGGTGAATTTTAACTAGTACAAGACCGTTGGCAATAGCTTGTTTTAAAGCACGATAATGGAGAACGTGCTTTCGTTTTGGTAGGAGAGTAGTTAGGAGCTTCTGTTTTTTTGACCCTGGTGGCTTCGAGCGTTCAGGACAAAACGGAAAATCACTGTGTTTATCATTCACCCCACCTCTTATTCCTCGTTCAATGTACATTACCATATCTATATCTGTAAGAAGTTCCAGCCTTATATTCGTATACTTTAACATGGCATCCCATGTCAGCCCTGGTGTTGTATAATAATGCAATCACGATATTACAATCACGATGTGCGGGGCCACGATACTTTCCAGTTAGATGACAATGGTCTCTTACTTTTATATCCTCATGCTTGATTTTATTTCTACAAATATGACATGTACTTGCATTTCTAAAATCAGCAAGTTGCTGAGGACTTAACACTTCCATTGGTACAGGATTTTTAAATGTCCTATCAAGATTGTCAGACAAATTTTTTAACTCAGTTGAAAACCATTTAGCTGGATCTTCTTCATCTTTTGGAGATGCTTTGTATATGGACAACGAGTCATCAAAGGCACACTTTAAATAATATCCAATACTGAGCATTTTGTGGTTTTGAAAAACCTCAGTATTGTTGGCTTGTTGTGGTGCTTCGGCAGGAATCAAGAGACTTTCACAATCCGCATATATTATAAATGGTACACGCTCCTTGTTTTGGAAATTTTTAAATTCAACAAAATTTTTACCTGGATTCGGCAGCACAATACTCGTTTCATTGATCTTTTTACAATTTTCTTCATGTTCAAAAAGTTTATTTTCATCTCCAAAGTAATGCAGGCAACGATCGCAAATGTACTTTTTGTTTTTTTTCTTGGACAATTGACTGCTGACAAGCTTTGATAAATCTTTGATCCAAACATAATGGTAGTTAAAAGAGATGATGGTTACTTGATCGATCTCCTCATCCTCCTCCGTAAAATTTTCATCAATGTAGTGGTCCTCAATTCGAAGAAGATTTACATGAACAACCTTCTTTTGTGATGAAAGATGTAACGGAGCCACTGTAAACTTTTCAGCCTTTTTGATAAGTCCATATACATTAACTGAAATGTTCTTCTGAGCCTCAAATTTTAAAATATCCTTGAGTGAAACAGGGAACTCAATTCCACTGAAATTAAGTTCATTCTCATAAAGCCTATATTTAGAAACTCGATCTGCATGGTTTTCAACTTGGTGTAAAGCTGACAAAATTGACCATTTAAAACATTGATTGTCTGTATTTTGAACATTAATACAAGCTTGTTTCTTTTTAATGAAAAGTGGCAAATCAATATAAGAACCAGCACGCATGGGATTATACTTGTTAATGTTAACCATTAACCTTTGAATAGAATCAAGTCTCCAATTAGAATCTTTTTCTTGGAATTCTTCGATTCGTCTTAAAGTTGGTTGTTTAACATTCTGATTGTACCACTCATCTTATTGGGTTGTAACTAAAATCTCACATGTTTTCGCAATAAATGTCTTTATATCTGACATTTCTCCATTACCTACAATTAAATCTTTTTTAAATTTAGCACACAAAACTGTATAAACTTTTAGCGGACCAAATTTGTTTAAAGCTGTTTCAATATTACTTTTAAATAAAACAAAAGCATCATCAAAGAACTCATTAATATCCTTGTAATCAATATTAATAATAGCACTAGTTTGTAAACGATCATCAAATGCTTTATCAAAATCCACCCATTTCATTCTATCATTACTCACTTGCAAGCCCGCGCCACGTTTCATTAAAGCATCGAAATGGCAACGCAAGTATTCAAGTTTCTGACTTAAATTGAAGCATCTTGATTTTTGATAAGATTGAAAATCAGATCTTCGCAAAAATTTTGCCATTCGAATGCGTTAACGAACTTTTCATCACCTGTCATTGACATTGTGGTGATGAGTTCACTTTCAGCGATTTTAATGAAGTTGTCAGACTCCTGACAGACTTCATTAAATTCATCATTCTCAAGCCGTTGTCGAGATTTCTTCTGTGGCTTACACTTTGGCATCCTAAATACTAAACCTGAAAAAACCTAAAAACAATCTCAAAAAGAAAACACCTGAAAAAACCTGAAAATAAAATGAAAAAGAAAATAAAGTAAAAAACCTGAAAAGAAAATGAAAAAAAACTTAAAACCTAAGAAAATTCTGGAATTTAAAGACACAGAAAATAAAAAAACCACCACCTTAAATTAAATACAAATGAAAAAGAACTAAAAATAAAAAACCCTGAAAGTAAACATCCACCACCATAAACCAAATACAAAAAATAATAGAACAAAAAGAAATTAAAACTAAAAATAAAAAACCCTAAAAATAAATATCCACCACCTTAAATCAAATACAAAAATAATAAAACAAACTGAAAAAAGAAGAAACTCTGAAATTCTGAAAACTCTATAACTACTCTGTTGCACCTGAAAGAAAAGAATGATGCTGGTGGTCTGAACGCCGTGCTTTATACACTACGCCCCACCATGGCAGTCCACACTACGGCGCTCCCCACTATGACGCGCCCTACCACCTAGCTGGCGCGCGCAATCAGGCGAGCCCACCGCTGCGCGCTCCGCTGTAGGCATGGGAGGGAGTCCCCGGCTGAGTTCACATCAATGCGGGGAGAAATAAAACTCAGCATATGAACCCGGAGCTGGCAGCGGCATAGACGCAACCAGCAATGGGGATCCCTCTCGATGTTTTTTTCCATACAGGTTTAGATATAATTATATACATTGAAATTTTAAACTTTAAATTAACTTTAAAACATGTTTAAAAAAATTGCGCCATCTTGCGGTGGTAGCCAAAACTAACGCGGTCGGTAATGTAGAACACCAAGCCACTTTAAATTAAACTTTTAAAAATTCAAATTTTCCGCCAAGGGGGTTTGAATTGGTCGGTATGTGGGGAATACGCTCTGTCTCTCTATTCCCCTCTCTCTTTTTTGGTGAGCGCAGACGCTAGATCGCAGAACTGATGGGCGCGAGAAAGTTTAGGAGAGATAGACTCGAGTCTTCGAACACTGTACGGTATATATACGTCGTCTGGTCTTTTGACCATGTTAACTTTATATTATATTTAGTAGTCAAATAAAGTGGTTATATTAATTAATTATGGAGTCAGTTAATGAGCACGCAAGTGGAAGATTTTAAGTAAATCCTTTCAACCAAATTCCCACATTGGTGACCCCGACGTGATTCGGGAAAATGCGTGTTTCGGAATTTTTACCTATCAACCTCATGGCTAGGGACGCCGTCGCCATTTTGAGTACCGGCAAAAACCACTCGTTTTAACCCGGATTTTCCACCGAACGAGAAGGAATCTGGACTTTCGAACAAATTGACGACGATGATCAACCACTACTGCAAAATTTTTTAACATATTTTGGACGTATCAACCGCCTCTCCGATGTCTATTGTCCGCTGTACCTATTGTGACGTCATGCCACGCTGAGAACTTCCGTTCCTGACGAGCCGAGAGGACGATTTCTTGCTACTTGGACTGCCGATATCTATTGCTGATCGAGTTTGGCGAGTTCCAGAATTTTTTTACGCTTTGGAAAACGGCGCATGGGCATGATATTCTGAGCCCATGCAACAGGTATGTTTCGCTTTTTATACCTGGTTGCAAGCTAACAGTTTTCCGTCTCCCTTATCATTGCATCTCTTTCATGAACCTTTCCTGAGCATCTTCTGGAGTTTGGCTCTCTACACCAGCCAGTGATGTCAGGAAATTCTCTACCGCATTTCCGGGGAATTTCTCGAGGATTCTCCGTGGCGAGTTGGTTCGACGAGAAAATGACGGCATGGAGTTCGCCATCCTAATCATGGGCAGCATCGTCATCGGGAGGAACTTCGCAGCGTATTGGACATTCCTATTGTTTCTAAGTATTCTTGCGTATTTATTGTTATAAATATTTTTTGTGTTTCGTGTCTCTCGTGAATTATTAGCATTTTTCGCACTAACGAATTTAACGTTGAGTTTAAATAACTCTTTTCTAAATTTCAAAAATTTTTTTTTGGCGTTATCGTTAAATTAAATTAAAGAAATTTTTTCTTTTCGCATACTTTCAATTAAAATTTTTTTATATTACGTGAAATTTATGAGTTTCGGTACTCATTATTATTCTTAAACGTACGCAATTTTTTCTTCGAAAAATAATTCAAAGTTTTAAATCCAAGAAATCTCAAAATTCTTAATTCAGTTAATTTTGATTTTCAAAGTTGGTTTGTTCATGGTCGAATACAATACGGGTATTGTTCACGTTAGTAAATAAAACGCGTTCCTACAAGGATAAACCTTACCCCGTGTTGTCTTTCATCGACTCGATATTTACGAACGTATTTTCTTTGATAAATAGATTTGATTTAAAATTTTGTCATCATGAGGATAATATTGTATACTCCGTATATTGTCGACAATATTATTTGTATTGTAATTCTCATTTTCTTAGTGCGATTATTTTTGCTATTTTCTTTTTCGATTGAAACAGTCCGCGTTACTGTATTTGGATAAAGTTTTTTTTTCTCAAAAAATCGGGAGAGACGGGAAACGTCATTTAATTTAGATACAAATGGTTTGAGGGGTATGGACGATTGAGTGACTTATTACTGAATTTTTTTATCATTCTTCGATTTCGTTTATTTAAACTAAACTTAGAATTTTCAAAAGTTTAAAATCACAATTTTTTTGTAAAAATGGCTGATCGAGGTTTTGTTTTCATCCCTGTGAACGACCCACTAAGACCTGGACAGCTTGACCATGCGCAGGCACCTCGCGGTTTCGAGGGCCATTTCGGAGGTCCTTCGAATCCCGGTACAGCTTCCCAGAATCAGATGCCTCGCAGTTTCGATGGTCGCTTTGGAGATTCGTCACACCCTGGTCTAGTTGCCCAAAATCAGCAAAATTTTACTAACCGTATTCCGCGTTTGCCTACATTTATTCGAACAGATCCTTCCCTATGGTTCGCTCAAATCGAATTGATTTTCGAATCCGCAGGTATTTTTTCTCAAAGATTGAGAGCCGGCTCAGTAGTTACCGCTCTTGATCACGAAGTCGTTCAAACTATCGGGGATTTATTAACGAATAATAATTATGTCGAAAATTTATATTCGGAAATTAAAAAACGTGTTATCGAGAATTTTTCGCTTTCCCCTGAGTCCGAACTGAGAAGTATCCTGAAGGGTGAAATTATCAGTGATGGTAAACCATCCCTAATTTTGAGTCGAATTCGACATCTTAGACGTGGTAGATGTAGCGATGACGTACTCAAGACAATTTTTCTCGAACATCTCCCTGCTAATTGTCGCGCAGTTTTAGCAGTTTCCGAAACAAACGATCTCAATCGTTTAGCTTCTATGGCAGATCGAATAATGTCGTACAGTTCATCTGAAAAAAATGTCGCTGCAGTGTCAGTTGACCCTGATTCGGAAATCTTGAAAAAATTAGAGAAATTGACCTTAAGAATCGATGCGTTATCAACTAGATCTCGCAACCCCTCTAAGTCGAACAATCATGACCGCTCAAGGTCTCGTTCTAAATCCAATTCTGGAGGTAAAAATCAAGGTTTTTATCGTTTTCATCGTAAGTTCGGGAAAAAGGCCCATCGATGTTTTCAACCCTGTTCTTTCGAAAAAAATTCGAAAAAAGATCCGAAAAAAGATTCGAAAAAAAACTCGAAAAAGGATTCCAAAAAAGATTCTGATTCCGATGATTCGAATTCGGGAAACTAATTCCGCCGCCCCGATCTGAGGCAACCGGCGCGAAGGCAAACTCAAAACGCCTTTTTATTCGAGATTGTGAGACAGGAATGAATTTCCTCGTTGATACAGGTTCCGACATTTCATTGATGCCAGTTGAAGCCAAGAGTAAACTTATGCCATCCCAATACGGCATTTATGCTATGAATAATTCGCAAATAAATACGTATGGTGATTGCCGACTTAGTCTTAATCTTGGTCGTCGACGTTCCATTTCCTGGAATTTTTGTGTTGCAGACGTACCTTACCCTATTATCGGGGCTGATCTTCTGTCAGCTTATGGATTGAATGTCGATCTCCGTCGTCGGAGAATTGTTGATTCTTTAACAGAATGCCGGTCTGTCGGTAGCGTTCGAGATACCCTTTTTTCAGGCGTTAGCTCTATTGACAAGTCATCCTCTTTCTCGAATATCCTCGCTGAGTTTCCCACAATCACCGGATTGACACAATCTTCAGAAATTATGTCAAATGGAGTAGTGCACCACATTGTAACAACTGGACCCCCTGTTGCTGAAAGAGCTCGTAGATTAGCTCAAGATAAAACAATCTTCGCAAAAAGTTGGTTTCAAGGAATGGTAGATTCTGGTCGTTGCCGCCCCTCTGACGCAGAATGGGCTTCACCCCTCCATATGAACCTAAAAAAAAGTGGTGAATGGAGATGCTGCGGGGACTATCGTAGACTGAATGCATGCACTATTCCCGACAGGTACCCTGTGCCCTATCTGCAGGATTTCACTAACATCCTTCATGAAGAAAAAATCTTTTCCAAATTGGACCTTTTTATGGCCTATAATCAGATCCCTATTGCCCCCGAAGATATTCCGAAAACTGCGGTGATTACACCCTTCGGACTCTTCGAGTTCACTGTCATGACCTTTGGTCTTAGAAATGCAGGTCAAACTTTCCAACGTTACCTGAACAAAATTCTCGGAGATCTCGATTATGTTTTTGCCTACATCGACGATATCCTGATCGCTTCTTCCAGCCCTGAGGAACATGAAAAGCATTTGAGAGAGGTTTTCAAACGCCTCGCTAATGCATCCCTCCGTCTGAATGTTGGCAAGTGTGAATTCGGTCGCTCTGAACTCGAGTTCCTTGGTCATATCGTCGATCGAAATGGAATTCGACCAACCCTTGAGAAAGTGAAAGCAATTAGCGAATTCCCTCGACCAAAAACTATCGTCGAATTAAGGCGATTTTTGGGACTCTTGAATTTTTATAGGCGCAGCCTACCTCATGCTGCTGAAAATCAAAGAACCTTGAACTCATTCCTCCATGATTCTCGCAAAAACGACCGCCGTGAAATTGCATGGACCCCCTCGACTGTCGAGGCGTTCGAAAAATGTCGTTCGAGCATTGTCGATGCCTCTCTTCTCATCCACCCTGATTGCGAAGCCCCTACTCGCGTAGTGTCCGATGCTTCCGATTATGGCATGGGAGCCGCACTAGAACAGTTTCAGAATGGTTCTTGGAGGCCATTGGCATTTTTTTCTCGAAGTTTCAATCCCGCTCAAAAAAGGTATAGTACCTATGATAGACAGTTGACAGCTGCGTTCGAGGCTGTGAAATATTTCAAACACTTTTTGGAATTCCCAAAATTTCATATCGCGACAGATCACAAACCTCTCATCTACGCTTTCAACCAGAAATCTGACAAGGCTTCTCCCCGTCAAGGTCAACAACTCTCGTTCATTTCCCAGTACACGACGATTTTCAAATACTTACCTGGTGATGAAAATGTCGTCGCAGATAGTCTTTCTCGTGTGGACGTCATCAGATTAGCCACTGACGTCACTTATGTCGAGCTTTCCATCGCTCAAAAGGATGACACTGAATTGCAATCTCTTTTGCAAAATGGAACATCTTCTCTCAACCTTAGTCGCATGCTCTGGGGTCCTGATCAAACCACTGTTGTGTGTGACTTATCCGGTGAGATCATTCGTCCTTACGTCCCGTTATCTTTGCGTCAGCGCGTTTTCGAGATTTTCCACTATTCTGCACATCCCAGTGGTAAAGTTACCCATAAAATAATTCGCAAGAGTTATGTTTGGTTGGGAATGAACAAAGACATAAAAGAATGGTGTAGGAATTGTATCGAGTGTCAAAGGGCGAAAGTATCTCGACACACTATTTTGCAACCATCGCATTTCGTAGCTCCCGATGGAAGATTCCGACATGTCCACATGGACATTGTAGGCCCTTTACCAATCTGTGACGATTATAGGTATTGCTTGACCTTGATTGACCGATTCTCCAGGTGGCCAGAGGCTATCCCTCTGAAAAATGTTGAAGCGATAACGATTTACCGTGCTTTCGTTGATGGCTGGATATCGCGCTATGGTACCCCTAAAAGTTGGAACTATCAAGAAGTCTCTCGAGTGTCCATACACTGGTCCTCATAAGGTTCTGAATCGCGTTTCTGACCGAATTTTTGAAATTGACGTGAACGGTGTTAGTCGTCGAGTATCGGTAGAAAACGTAAAACCGGCGTTTTTTGTCTCTCCCGATTTACCGTCAGCAATTAACGAAAATCTAGATAGATCTAGTGGCGTTATCCGTCCCGCAGTTTGCACCCCGAATTTAGAAAGTAACGTTTCAAACCAGTTTCAAGTACAAAAACCTTTGAGAACTTATTCGAATAAGAAAAAAGTCACTTTCAACGTAAAGTAGAACAGTATTGGTATTGAACTCAAAGATTAGCAAGTAATTAATTTTAGGAGATGGCCATCTCACCAAAGAATTTTTTTATACGTACGTACCAATATTATTATTATCTTTTTTTTCGATAATATGTGATATCAAAAAATTTTTTTTTTTGAACCCATTCGTAAAATTAGCACTTTTTTGAATTATTTCGATTGAATTACGACCCAATTTCACCTTTTTTTTACGAATTAATACCTAAAATTAAGCCTATTCTTAAAGTCGTTTTTTAATATGTAAGTTAATGTACATAAATTCTTGCATAATCTCTTTAATATTACGAAAAAACTAGAAAACTAAAACTTTGTACTTTTCGAAACGAAACTGCGATAATTTTGAAACACGACTGCGATAATTACTATATATTGTATGTAATGTATTATTATATATTTTATTTATTTGTATCGTTAGATTCAAATTTCCCGCCAAGGGGGGTTGAATTGGTCGGTAAAATGCCAAGCCACTTTTAAAAATTCAAATTTCCCGCCAAGGGGGTTTGAATTGGTCGGTGGCGACATCAGGCGGTGGCAACAGGAACTAGCGCGGTCGGTAAAGTAGATTCCTACATTACCGACCTCAGTCAGTAAGTGGTCCCGCACCCGCCTTGTTTAACTACTGTTTAGATTTATTAAATTTTAAAACTGAATTTCGCCAGGAAATTTTACTTCTTCTTGGCCCAGAGTTCAAAAGAGGATGCCATAGTTCGCCATAGTTTGCCCATAGTTTAGATTTATTTAATTTTCAAATTTAAATGGCTAGAAAATTTAACTTCATCCTGGCCAATAGTTAAAGAAAGGACGCCATAGTGCGCCATAGTTTTCCCATAGTTTAGATTTATTTAATTTTCAAATTTAAATGGCTAGAAAATTTGATTTGACTCTGCCCGTGGTTTAAGAGAGGTCGCCATAGTTTGCCCAAAGTTTAGATTTATTTAATTTTTAAACTTTAATGGCCAGAAAATTTAACTTCTTCTTGGCCCATAGTTAAAGAGAGGTAGCCATAGTTTTCACATAGTTCAGATTTATTTAATTTTCAAACTGAAATGGACAGAAAATTTAACTTCTTTTTGGCCCATAGTTCAAGAGAGGTCGCTATAGTTTGCCCATAGTTTAGGTTTATTTAATTTTTAAACTTTAATGGACAGAAAATTTAACTTCTTCTTGGTCTTCTTCTTTAACTTTCTTCTTGGTTCAAGAGAGGTCGACATAGTTCGCCATAGTTTGCCCAAAGTTTAGATTTATTTAATTTTAAAACTGAAATGGTCAGAAAATTTAACTTCTTCTTGGCCTACAGTTCAAAAGAGGTCGCCATAGCTTGCCCATAGTTTAGATTTATTTAATTTTTAATCTTTAATGGCCAGAAAATTTAACTTCTTCCTGGTCTTTTACTTTAACTTTCTTCTTGGTTCAAGAGAGTTCGCCATAGTTTGCCCATAGTTTAGATTTATTTAATTTTAAAACTGAAATGGCCAGAAAATTTTACTTCTTCTTGGCCTATAGTTCAAGGGAGGTGGACATAGTTTACCCATAGTTTAGATTTATATAATTTTTAAAATTTAATGGACAGAAAATTTGATTTGACTCTGCCCGTGGTTTAAGAGAGGTCGCTATAGTTCGCCATAGTTTTCCTATATTTAAAATTGATTTAATTTTCAAACTTTAATGGACAGAAAATTTAAGTTCTTCTTGGCCCATAGTTAAGAGAGAGGTCGCCATAGTTCGCCATAGTTTGCCCATAGTTTAGATTAATTTAATTTTCAAATTTTAATGGCTTGAAAATTTGATTTGACTCTTCCCGTAGTTTAAGAGAGGTCGCTATAGTTCGACATAGTATGACCATATTTTAGATTTATTTAATTTTTAAACTAAAATGGCCAGAAACTTTAACTTCATCTTGGCCAATAGTTAAAGAAAGGACGCCATAATGCGCCATAGTTTTCCCATAGGGTAATTTTAATTTAATTTTCAAATTTGAATGGCTAGAAAATTTGATTTGACTCTGCCCGTGTTTTAAGAGAGGTCGCTTTAGTTCGCACATAGTTTGCCAATACTTTAAATTCATTTAATTTTCGAACTTAAATGGACAGAAAATTTAAGATCTTCTTGGCCCATAGTTCAAGAGAGGTTTGCCCATAGTTTGCCCATAATTTAGATTTATTTAATTTTCAAATTTAAATGGCTAGAAAATTTGATTTGACTCTGCCCGTGGTTTAAGAGAGGTCGCCATAGTTTGCCCATAGTTTGCCCATAGTTTAGATTTATTTAATTTTT